AAAACTACAATTCTGTTTCATACTTTATATTTTACTCAGGTATACACCACTTCTTTTAAATAACCGAAGAAAATAAAGTTGGATATGCAGAAAAGTATGTCAAATAGATAAAAAATATATTCTAATTATTTTCATAAAAATAATGTTTTATTCAATAATGTTGAATTCGTGTTTTAAGTTCTATGGTATTATCACTGCTCAGCCTTAATTTCATCAATATCGCAATTCTTACGCTAGCCAAAATTATTTCCTTTTATTATTATTATTATAAAAAACATATTTTTCAGAACAATCATGCCCCGAAATTATACAAGAAAAAGAATAAAAACGTACACTCCACAAGACTTAGCTGAAGCTATCGAAAAAGTAAAAAATGGACAACTTACGCAATATAGCGCAGCCCATCAGTATAACATTCCCGTGACGACCCTACATGATCATATTAAAGAAAGTACAGTAAGCAGACCAAATGCAGGTAGACCAACTGTTATACCATTAGAAGACGAAAAAAAATTAGCCGAAGCTATCATTGTTATGGAAAAATGGGGTTTTGGTCTGTCAAGGTTTGAGGTAATGGAGATAGTTGCTGAATATGTTCGAATTAATAATATTCAGACACCATTTAAAAATAAATTCCCAGGACCCGATTGGTTTATAAACTTTCGTAAACGACATCGTCTATCAATTAAAAAAGCACAGCCTGTAGAATATGTACGAAGAAAAATGACAGACCCGTTCGTCATTGCTGAATACTTTAATTTACTGAAAAATACTTTAAAAGATTTAAATCTTTCTGAAAGTCCCCAAGACATATGGAACTTGGATGAAACATCAATGTGCCTGGATCCAACTAGAACAAAAGTTGTTGGGCAAATAAACAAACCCTGTGCAAGGACCACTCATGGAACTGGTAAAGAAAATATAACCGTGCTGACAGGCGCCAGTGCCAGTGGCAAGAAGTTACCCCCATTGATTGTATTTAAGGGCAAATTTGTTTGGGATCAATGGATGGCTGAACTAGACCCCGGTGACTATGATTTCGAGTTAACATATGCGGCCAGTACAAAGGGTTGGATGGAGACAGATATATTCCTAAACTACATGGAAAAAGTTCTCATCCCAAATCTAGGCGAACAACGACCAGTCCTTGTTATTTATGACGGTCATTCAACCCATGTGGATGTCAGAGTTGTGCAGCTGGCAATTCAAAACCACATCACAATTCTGAAACTACCGCCACACACATCACACTTGCTTCAGCCAATGGATATTGCCGTTTTCAAGTCATTCAAAACAATTTGGGATGCCAAACTTGTCGAGTGGCAACGCAGAAACATTGGAACGAAAATGCCAAAAAATGTTTTCGCCCAAGCACTGGCAGATACATGGCAGCAAACCAGCTCCGATGTGATCAAAAGCGGATTTAAAAAAGCTGGGATTTATCCTTTTAATGCCGATGTAATACCTCTAGATATGTATGATCCAGATGCATACCAAAGATATAAGAAAATGATATCAAATGTACATCTCGCCCAGATGAACCCTCAAAATCCAAAATCACTTAAAGATATTTGTATGGACTTCTTTAACAATCTTTCATCATCTTACGATACCCATGAAGAACTAAACAATGTTGACATCACCTTACTTTCTCAAGTATCAAAGTCCGATATACAGACATTGAGTTTTATAGCTCAACATCCAAGCCAAATACCCATATGTTTGCGCAATTCCCAACCGATTCAAAGTCAAACCTATAAAAATTCATCACCAATACATATAACGTCAAATATTCTCATTAAAAAAGCATCTCAACCATCATCTCAACCCCAAGATCCAACCCAACTGCCATGCACATTCGAAGAATTGGTATTGAGAAAAATACAACAAGACAAAAAAGTTTCTACTTTACCAAAAAAGAAACGGATCACAAAAGGCGCTGAGGTTATAACTGCCACCATGGGTAAGAAAATCTTAGAAGAAATCGAAAAAACTACAATTAGTAAGAAACCACCGACAAAAACCAGAAAAATTAATAAGAAAAAGCCAAAAAGAGTAAACACAAAAGATAAAATAATATATACAGAACAAAATCGAGATGAACAGCCATGTTCATCAGGAATAAAAAATAAGAAAATACGTAAACGTAAAACTTCACTTGACAGCATAACCAGTGTATCCGACCTAATGAGCGCACACAGCAATTCTGATACCTTTGATGTCTTGGAATCATCAGATGAAACCTTTGAAGAATATGATAAAGAAAAAAAATGCTCACAGAGAAAGACTAAAGATGTAAATTGCAGTAAAAAATTAAAAATATGTGAAAGATTAACAGGCGAAAACATAATAACTACTAACAAAGATCCAAATTTCCTCTCTGTTAAAGGCAAAGGTGTTGGGAAAAAAAGTAAGGGTAAAGAAAATCAAATTAATATAAAAGGGAACGTAAAAAAAGAAATAAGATTAATTGAAAGTGATAATGAAGACGTTAATGATATATTTATGATAGGAAAAAATATGAAAACTGGAGACAGCTCAAAAATTCAGACAAATATAAAAGACAAAAAAAGAGAACAGAAAAGACAAGTTGAAAGTGAACACGAGGGTGTAGATATTCTTCAGCCGACAAATGAAGAATACTTAAAACCCAAAGACAACAAAAAAAATAAGGACATAGTACATAAAACTTATGAAGAAGACCCGACAGTTAATGAAATATACAAACTAAATGATACGGTTCTTATTAGATATTTAATCAGGAATAAATGGAAATACTACATTGGATTTATAGAAGAAATAAAATATCATGAACAAACATACTTTTCTATCAACTTCTTAAAAACTGTGAAAAAACAAGAGCAATTAATTTTCGTAAAGCCCAGAAGAAAAGATAGTGATAATGTTCCTGAACAATTAATAGTAAAGAAAATAGACACAAGAAAAACAAATGAAAAGGAATATAGATTGTGTAATGATGAAGATGCTATATATTTTGACTGATTGCGTAGCAAACTGATCCTGGCCTGGTTTTTATTAAGCCTTCTTTGTATCAATATTTACTGAGACTTGCGATTTAATTTATAGGATTTTGCCAAATGTAAATGTTAATGATTCATGATTATTGCAAGTTCCTGATTTCACTATAAATGTTTTTTTTATTAAATTAGTTTAGGTACGCTATAATAATATAATTTTTTAACAGTTATGTTAAGTTTTTGACGAGGTTTATTTAAACACAATAATGTTGCTATTTTGTTTATATTGTAAGTTTTGGTTTTGATCTTCTTAGAGAAATTACTTTTAAGTTTGTGCCAAATGCACATAAAACTATTGTGTCTTCTATTCTGTGATTAACGCACGTTCCTTGCGGTTCCTATCGTGATTTTTAATAACGTAGGTTATTAAAGTAGAAAGAAAAACTTATCGTAACATTTTAAGAACGACTGATTTAAATATGTTTAATCGTATGTAAGAAAAATAATTTTGTTTTGCAAAAAGCTTATTATTTCAGTAAAATTGAGTTGATTTTGCCTAAATGATTGATTTTCATTCAGAAATCCCATAATATTAGTGTCTAAGAAGTAAAAGTTACAATGCTTAATATGCGGTGAAGGCATGCGCCTCCATCCTACTTCAAGTACTTTGGATGAGTCTGAAATGTTGAGAACCACAATACTTTCTTGATATCATCTTGGGGTAATTCCGACATAATAAAGTAATTTGGCAATACCATTCACCAAGCTGATATAATTTTGAATCAGGGGTTATTACGGTTGAAAAATAAATTTAAACCATCATTCAAAGTGAATAAAGATCAAGTATTGAATAATGACGGAATTACCCCAAGGTGGTTCGTATTTTCCCTTATTCCAGAAAAATATGATACAAAGTTTCAAAACCTTAATTTGAAATACCCAACAATAATTTTCGATTTCTAACATTTACATATAATAAACCGTTATTTTGAGTAAATGGAAATAAAATAAAAAACCAAAAAGTATAATAAAAAACTTTAAAAAATATATTGAATTTACGACCTCTAGTCATCTCACATAAATTTCAATCGGATTTACCCCAATGCACCTTACTTTAGAAAAAGAGCGAAGATTTAGAGACATACCACAAACCTAAGGTTTGAACTCATCGCGTAATCTCGTATAATAAAGAGTTGGTAATATATTTCAAAAGAATTGGCAACAGTGTGTCTGGCCATGATAACTGAAAAAGTAGGTGAGATTATTGTAAAACACTTGCAATCTATTTATGTGAAAACTACGTGCTAAACATTCAATACCTACCTACATAATACACAGGTAATCATGAAAGGAGCATTGCTTACAGACAATAACGCAGCTTGGGTTCAACCACGGAACTACAAAAAGTCTCGAACCAAACCAATGCCAAATACGGCTTCATTGGCAACCAATATAGTACAAAGCACGAATATCGAGCACACAATTCGACATTCTACTGATATTATTTATGTGAAAGTTTGTATTTGCAAGTTTGAAACATGCAAACTTGATAACAGAACTGAATCACGTTAAACGCCTAAGCGGATATGAATTAAAGGAGATTGAAACAATTTTATAAAAAATTGGGCCCAAAATTAAAAAATGAGGAAAAGGGTTCGTCAATTTAAAAAAAAAACAACCAGCAGTGCTATTCTGTAAGAACAAACTCACTTTTCACCTCGGTATTCGCGGTGTGATACAGAATAAGAACACGAATTTTAAATAATTACAAATCACACCGGCGAATTTCCGCAGAGAAAAGTGAGTTTTTTTTTACTAGTTTGTTCTTACTTACTTTTAGCATTACTGAGAACAGATTTGACAAAGTTTTAATTAAATTAAATAAAGGCTACATAACCTACACCTACACCTTCATTTATTTGATGATGATTTTATATACCCTACTAAATCGGTCCCTTGTGACAAAATCCAAATTGGTAATCAGATCGTCTGTTAAAAAAAAAATTGACACGCTAATTTCAGGTGCTATTCACACGCCCTGTGTGCAGTTGTGCTGGACTGCCATCGGGCGCGTCTCCTGGGTGGCGGATGGGGGCTTCGGCCGGCGTGGACCAACACTATCAAAATCTCGTTACTCCGTACGTAGTCGGGGCCGGACCGCGAGTAAGAAAACCTCTTTAAAAAATTACTTGGTATGTCTCGGCAGGCGCCCTGGGCATTCTGGGTAGCGGCAGTCGAGACAGTAGGAGGGGCGGTAACGCCTGCTCTGGTGAGGGCGGTTGTCTTACAAGCTTCATCTGAAGTGCGAATAAAAACGTAACGTTAGAGCGACTTGGAAGCCGTTGCCGTTGGTACTCGCGGTAGCGTTGATGATATTATATTGTGTTTTTTAAATAGTTTTTTTTTTTATTTTGGTTCAACGCAAGGTTTATCGCTACAATAACTTCATCTATGTCACTATCAATGTTTTCTTCTAAGGAGTTTTCAATAGGTAAGAAATTTTCTTTAACCAAAGTAGAACGACTTTTACTTTTAAATTAACAAATCTATCTTTACCGTTATAGTTTTTCTTAAAAGTTCATGAAACACTATAATCATGAATTTTTCCCCCCTACTCGAACAAAAATTAGCACTTTAAAGTTTAATATTTCGCAAACGGATCTCTAAATCGAAAAATAGTCTTAAACACCCCTGAGTAATTTTAAAGGACCTATTCAACGATATCGCACACGAAGGGGTATATGATGATTAAAAATCATCACCAGGTTACATGAAGGGGAGCTACCCTAATTTTTTTTATTTTATTTTATTCTACCATTTTGTCGGCGTAATCGATATAATGTATATCCACAAAATTACGGATCTCTAGTTCTAATAATCTTCAAGTAAAACTGGGGACGGACAGACGAACATGACGAAACTATAAGGGTTCCTTGTTAGGACTGACTATGGATCCCTAAAAACATGTAAAACAATGCTTATTCCTTATTGATCGTGATGAAACATGTTACTAGGGATAGACTTTGTTCTACTATCAGATAATCCGGAATAAAGGTTCCATGTCTTAAAGCCCACAATATAGAGATTCGCTTAGTGCTAAAAATCAAGCGACTGGCTTATTCTATTCCCGGCTCGAAGTCCCAAAGTATCGTTGCCACAAGCCCAGTTACGGTCAGCTGCGACTAGGGTTACCATCCGTCCAGTTTAGTCCGGACTTGAAGACTATCGTCCGGACTTTGTCCGGATCTTAAATTGTCCGGATTTTTGAAGTTATACTTCTTTAGGCGCGTTATGAAAAAATTATGAGAGTGAAATATTAAGATGCGCGCGCATCACTGTAACACAAAATTTTAACAGCATGAAGTTGGTCGCTTTAGCGACCAACATCATGCTGTTACTTTTGTGTTTACCGCACATTAAGAAAATCTACCAACAAAATAGAAATAGAATCTCTATTTAGTGGGTGCTAACGACTACATTGTGAAGGCCTATCAAAAGTATTTATTAATCTGGAACAACGGAACCAAAGCGCGATTCAGGAGACTACAGCGCCATCTCTTGACCATTGGTGTAGTACTGTAGTAGAACCAAAAACCACATCTTTATTTTTCAATGTTACTTTTATGTTATTATTGTAATAAAGTAACAGTTATAGGTATTCATATTTATAATATTTATCCACATGTTTCTAGTTTGTATATTCGGAATACGTGTTTGAGTTTCATACAAGTGCAAATCAAATATGTTCTAATAAATTATATTCAGTAGCGATTTTAATTGAATATTTTGATTATTTATTTATTTTTTTCAAATTAAAACTGAACTTTATTGACTGTGTCCTTTTCCAGACTTTTTATTAATTTATTGTAATTAATTATTTGCATGCAATTAAAAACTAATTTTAAACGATGCCAAAGAAGGATAACTTCTCACGCGCCTACATAAGTACACGCACTCATTTTTTAAATTACTTTGATTATGAATAATAAAAGTACATTGATTTTAATACCATTGTAACTAAGCGAGTAATACCATTTTGTGACTAAAAAGTCCGGACTTTTATCGAAATGTCAGGATTTTAATCAGGACTTTTGAAATTCCTAAATGGTAACCCTAGCTGCGACCAACAACAATATATAAAAAAATATAAAAACTGGCTTAGTCACTTGTCACAGTGATTAAAAGTATTGCACATTTACTTGCATATGAATTGCACAACTTCTTGCTTGTTTCTAAATTTAGCACTAACCCAGACTGTACTGTGACCTTAGACTAAATTAAGTTGATCAAAAATAATTTACTGCCGTGCTCAGAGACGTCAGTTTAATTGTTAAATATCATTAATATATGCCGTCACTTTCCTTGCAATAGTAATACAATTATTCATCTCTTCACTCTGTGAAACCTTGAATCTGCTTAAAAGGTTACGGAAACCATACTGAACGTAGATGATGTGATGAAAACTTTTCTTGTTCTGAATGATTAGTCTCCCTTCATCAACTCCAGAAAGACCAATCATTGATCTATGATTAGCGTGTCTCTTTCTTTTGAATAACTTTGAAACAACGATAGAGCAAAGCGGAACAAAACATTGCCCTCATCTCCTTCTCAAGACTCTCACTGCGATGACGAAATAAAAGGTTTTTCTACTTGAAACTCGACGCTTCGCTGCCAGAACGAAGATCGCCGAACGTCTCAGTATCTCAGTAAGTACGGTCTCGTATTTGTTCTACATTGATGATTTTTTTGCCGGTTAGAAATGGACCGTTGCTGCACTTTACCTAACAAGGCCGCCAAAAAAAGCAATAAATACTTTAGACCGCCGGTGCGCGCTTGATGTTCGAGCCAGTGTCGGTGTGGTGGCAAAATGTTGCGGCCGTGGATTCTGCTGGTGGTGACCGTGGTGGCAATGGTGGTTGCTGAAGTAATAGATCCCGCGGCGCAGCAGATTCTCCTGTTCAAACAAAAGACGGAGGTGAGCACTGGTTTATTAAGCTTTCAGATCCAAAGTAACTTACGATCAAGTTCTTACATAATTCTTTAAACCTAAAATTAAGTTTTATTACCTTAAACTTCCATGGTCACTAACACTGTAATTTATGTAAAACAAGATACCTGCATGGCAGCAATCCCGTTAATAACATAAAATTAAGTTTATCAATAATCAGGCAATTTGTTTATCAATCAATTAAGTTTATCAATAATCAGGCACCTAAGTTTATTTTCTTTCAAACACTGCAAAACATAAGGCTGACTTTCGCTTAAATGTACGCATCCGAGGAAACAATCTTGTCATGTTTATTTTACTATTGAATTCACAAAATTTTCACCTTACGCCCATGTGAATGTAGCGAAATGGTCAAGTCACATAATTTGACTAAAGTGTATAGTCTCTGAAGTTAGGCCTTGTAGAGAGGGCGTGTAGAGTTTGGCTTTACACGAGATCTGATAACTTTTTGACAGAGCGAGTCAATGGTTTTCGCAACAATTTACATGTTTTCAGTGGGATGTTCTTAACAAGATAAGGCTGCTTGATGTATATGAAAGTGACATACGAGTAATTTGGACCTTTTACAAGTTTTATTCAATAGTATGATGGACAATCAGAGAACTTTGATTACCTTTTTCATTGGAAAATGTGATGAAGATCCACGCGGTCTGCTCATAGTAAGTGTTAAAGTACATAGTATCTATTTGATACAAACGCATGTTTGCATGCACAATTCAATCACAAGTTTCAGGAATTTAGTTAAAGTTTTAAAGATTTAATCACCGTTTTTTTAAAGGAAATTAATATATTACACAACGTCACATCAACATCAGCTCTTTTATACTTAATCTAAGCACAACGTTTATACAAAGTGATAAATAAAGATCATATTGCGAAAATACTTGTATTAATATTAGTTTTCTTCCTCGTGGGGTTAATGGCGTGATAGGATTGCAGAGATGCAGCATAGCATAAATAAATATTATGGTTACTGTAGATAACAATCTGTCCTTAAGCCGTGAATTTTACCGGAGAAAATTTGCTAGCTAATTTTGACAACAATATAATTATGTAGTATGTACACACATCAAAAGTGTCTAGGGATCAACATATATTTTTGCAATAACTTTTCTCCTGATTGATATTAATTACAATTTTCTTTAAGGATTCATCAAATAAAGTGTTTTCGTTTGTCACAGTAACGATAAACCAAGTCACCTTTGCATTAATAAAGAAATTTGCCATTTTCCTAATAAAGGGATTTTTGACATTTGAACCACTAACACAAAAGTTCGAAAAAAAGACTGAAATAACACTTTTCTCTAAAATTTTATTGGGTAACTTAAACAATTAATAATCCGTATTTCTACCGCGAACACTAACAACACAAGAACATCGGTTTGGCATACTCAAAATGAGTTCATCCAAATCACGCTGTGGAATGGCCGCCCATGTTCGTTGCAACAACAAAAAAAGGTCTTCTTGCGACTGGATACCCTCCATATTCGGCAGAGCTCTTCTCTGTAGCATATCCCATGCATGCTCAATCGGGTTCAAGTCTGGCGACTGAGCAGGCCAGGGCAGGACATTGATGTTAGCTGCGGCGAGAGTCTGTCTTACAACTCTTGCGGTGTGCGGTCGTGCATTATCATGCATTAACTGAAATAAGGGACCGATTTGCACTTGTAGAGGAACGATGACGTCTGATACAATCGTCTCAGCATAAATTTGAGCGTTGAGGTTGCCTCTGATCCAAATCAACTCAGTTCTTCCGCCGATCCAAATGCCCGCCCATACCATGATGGTTCCACCACTATAAGGATGGACTTCCTGGCAGGATTTTAATCGCTGTTGGCGTCCAGGGGTTCTCCAGTGTCGTATACGTCTTGTATCCGGTCTCATACCAAAACGAGACTCATCAGAAAAGCACACGAAACGCCATTGTTCTTCTGCCCAATTTCTGTGTTCAAGAGCCCATTGATATCGAATCCTACGATTGTGCATTGCTATAGGTGGTACCCGTAGCGGTCTTCGGGAATGAAGGTTCATTTCATGCAAGCGGTTTCTGACTGTTTGGTCGCTAATTAAGTTCCCTGTAGAGTGATGAAGCCTCACGGCTAACATCATGGCGGTTATTGTTGGAGCTCTTCGAGTTAAGATTTGAATGTATCGGTCTTGTCTCCGTGTGGTGCAGCGATACCGTCCTCCATGGCGCTCAGCCACGGTACCAGTGCTTCGGTATCGTGTCCAAAGTCGACTGATAACACTCTGACTTGTATTCAGAGCTAAAGCCACAGTACGTTGCCGGGAACCAGCTTCTATCATTCCCACGGCTCTGAGCATTTCTTCCCTGCTTAAATGACGTCGCCGCTCCATAATAACGTTGGTTTTAATCAGTAGTAGGGAAACAGTAGCACTAATAATGTCTTCAATGCGTTGTATGTTTTTATAGGGAAAATATTGACAGCTGATTTTCATCTTTTACTCGAATTTGATTCACAGTTCCTGATTCAAATTATGAAATGCACCAAAAAGGATCCATATAAATTTATAAAATCATAAATTTATTACAAAGCCACATCTCAATCTCAAGAAATCCGCATAAAAATGCTTGATCCCTAGACACTTTTGATGTGTGTATTTCTGAATACAATTTTTTTTATTATTCTTTTCAAAACGTCTCCACGTTAACTCTATTTTTGTGCAATGATGAAACCTTTACAATTTTAATTGTTATAAATTGATTCAAATGATTAGGATCTACGTACTTTAAACATTAAACGGATACTAATTCCATCATAATATGTTATTTACAAATTTGCGGCATTTTAAGACATTTTGTAAAAAATATAGGAATCAGATTTTTATATGGGGGTGTAGTACGTTTACTGTTTATGAATGTTCGCACTATTTATCTTAAATTACTTTTTTGTTTCTTAGACTTTCACGTACACCACTCATTAAATAAAACAAGTTTCAACGGTAAAGATGTACTTATTAATTTATTTATTGACTTGCTGATTTTAAGACATTTTTCTTTTACGATATAAATAAATAAATCAGTGCATCTATACCGTTGGAACTTGTTTTATTTAAATTACTTTACTACTCTTGTTCGGTAACAGTGACAACAAAAATACTACTTCTCTGTTTATCACTTCATAAAATTGCGCCAGAAGCTTTCTTGTAAAGGTTTGAGATTGTTGATTATTTGAACTTGAGCCATTGCTTGATTGAGAGCCTTATATTAGCCAATAGGCCACTGACCGCCTTCGAATTTAGCTGAAACAAGAACGACCGAGAATATAGCTCTTTATTTATTTCTATTGCAATTGCATAACAAAAACGGTTTACTACTGTGCGAAAACGCGTCCGCAGCAGTTACTTTCACAAGGTGTTGTTATTTGGACACTACTTAGACATTTAGTTTTTTTAATTCAATCTTTCGTTTATATCGCGAAAAAGGCAAAGGTGCATACTTTGAAGTTATAGGCAGGGCGACTGTTCATAACAATTTCAATTGAAACACCGCATCATCCCCTCCGTATTATCAAAGAGGGTAAATTTTGGTCACTCATCTGATGTCTGGCCATTGTGGAATCTGCTTAGCTTTCACAATCGCAGACATTTATTCTACGATAAATTACTGCACCATAAAGATCATGCAAGAACATATGTAATTTATGTTTCAAATTGTATTAAATTGTTTATCATAATGTATGTAGTTATGAGGTCATGGGTAGCAGCGTTGTCTTTCCTGCGGTTTTTGCTGTTGTCAAAAAAACTTTTCTTTTACTATCGACTAAGAATAATTAGCGTTTAGAAAGGTCAATAAACTAAAAAAAGGAATTGTAACAAAAAGTTATAAACTTGAATAGGATTGTGTTTGTGGGACAAAAAATGTTTTAATTGATTTGCCAAGGACTGACCGAAGTTTTTGTTTGATTTATTTTTAATTATTTGCGACAATCCATGCATTTATGTTAGGTATTAAAAGAGCTCGATGGCGCAGGTGGCTAGCGCGTTCGGCTGCGATCGTTGAAGTTAAGCAACTTTCGCAGTGGTCGGTCATTGGATGGGTGACCAAAAATTTACTATCTCGAGCTCCTCCGTGCTTCGGAAGACACGTTAAGCCGTTGGTCCCGGCTGCATTTGCAGTCGTTAGCACCCACCAATCCGCACTGGGCCCGCGTGGTGGGTCATGGCCCAATCTCCCTATTCCATCCATAGGGAAGGCCTGTGCCCCAGCAGTGGGGACATTAATAGGCTGATGATGATGATTAAAGGACGTGTTCTGAGCCCAGCTTACGCTGTCTGTGGTGTGACAGGTTTTATTTATCTATTTACTCATTTATTATCGGGCAAAGTAGACCCATAGACATATAAGTCTAACATATATACAATGTGTTAGGTTTCAACGGCAATTTTTTTACGTTAAAATCTTGCCCTCTCCTTTAAAGCGCCAATTGTTATATTAATTATTTTCTTTTTTTATTATTGTTTTAAGGGACTTTTGGACGAAAGTGTCCATACCAGCCCCATCGTTACCCGATCATACAACTTTCGTATATGTGTTTCCAAGTCTAAGCATCCACTATGTGGGTACTAAATCATCGTTCCCGCTGTTAGCGATAATACAAACTTGTACGAGGTGATGACCAGTAAAAATCTTTATTACTCGTAGTTCTCTCTACTGTGAGTGCTTTTGCTGTTGCGGCTAAAAAAGAGCACTCATTGGTATTATATTTACTATTAATGTGAAAACTGGCCATGGGCGAGCCGAACTCACACATGAAGGGGTTTTGTATCATTCACCAAATTTTTGACAAGGTCGAGCGAAAACGTCAAAAAAGCAAATTTGTTGTATTAGTTCGGCCTTTCATTTTTTATACTTGTAGTTATAGTGGCATAAGAATTTACTCATTCTGTGAAAACCAAGTGCTTCACTATAACGCTTTATGAGGTATAAGCTTGCTGACTAACGGATGAATAAATCACCAGACCAGCGGAGGCTTTGCAGTAGAGTTCTGCAGTTACCGTTTGAGTATGGAACATTTAATTTTCATATAAACAATTGTGTTACAATTTTTTACATTGACAACTGATACCTTCGATCCAATGGGTAAGGATATTATCATATAGGCATGACACGCTTCGTTAATTACGTTTTTCGATAAACAAAATTAACTTAATTAACATGAGCGAAGCAATTGGTGCATAACCATAGCCAATGACCGACTTATCTCGTCGAGGCTGATCATCGACCTTAGGACTCTCCCTTGGTTACTTAATGCTCTTAATCTTTTAACAAAAGGTACAAATTCATTGTTGATGCTAAATGCAACCTTTATCTACGACTGCTCGTTAGTTCGAATAATAGGAGATCAGTAATTGAGTCTTTTTTTTGTAAAACAGGTTGAAATCTTGAAAGCGAACGTGGACTAATTTATCTTTTATATTATTTCAGGGACCCATTGGCATCATGACGACAAGCAGCGGGGCACCAGTAGAATATTCTGATGCCAGAGTAACGCTGAACAAGAGGCTGATATTCAACGAATACTTCATGGATTCACTCACTCATTTAGTAAGAGAGAGGATTCCAGAACGACTGGTCCACGCTAAAGCAGGCGGAGCTTTCGGTTATTTCGAGGTTACGCATGACATAACACATATCTGCAAAGCGAAATTTCTGAGCGGTATAGGCAAGAAGACTCCAGTTGCAGCCCGATTTTCCCCAGTAGTCGTAGAACGAGGAGGCATAGATACTTCTAGAGATGCGAGAGGTTATGCTGTTAAATTTTATACAGAAGAAGGCAATTTCGACATCGTCGGTTTCAGTACACCTATGTATGTCTACAAAGATCCACTGTTGTTTTCAACTTTCGTAAGAGCACAGAAAAGGAATCCTGCTACTAATCTTATTGATCCAAATATGTTGTGGGACTTTTTGACTTTGATACCAGAGAGTCTACATATGTTTCTACTTATTTTCTCGGATCGTGGTATTCCTGATGGTTATCGTCATATGCCAGGATTTGGTATACATACATATCAGGTTGAAAACAAGGATGGTGAGATACATTTTGTGAGATTTCATTTTACCCCTGAGGCCGGTGTAAGGAATCTGTTTACAGAAGAAGCCAGAAAAATAAACGCAGTTGATCCTGATTACGCTACAAGGGATCTTTACAGAGAAATAGGCAAAGGCAACTATCCTGCTTGGAAAGTAGACATTCAAGTGCTATCCTTGGACGATGTTAAGAATGCAGGATTTGATGTCTTCGATGTAACTAAAACTTTACCGCTGAACAAATATCCATTAATACCTGTTGGTAGATACGTCTTGAATAAAAACCCAGTCAATTACTTTGCGGAAATAGAGCAGTTGGCGTACAATCCAGCGAATTTAGTGCCTGGAATCTCAGGAGGGCCAGACAAAGTTTTTGAAGCTCGCCGTCTGGCTTATAGAGATGCTCAATATTACCGTCTAGGAGCCAACTTTAATAGAATACCCGTAAATTGTCCAATTAACACGGTAGTTCGCCCTTACAATCGTGATGGCAGCCAGCCGCTTAATGATAACCAAAAAGACATTCCAAATTATTATCCCAACTCATACAATGGACCCGTTGCATATAAAGATCGAAATAAAGTGGAATTAATAGAGATATATCAAGATCCACCCAACAATTTTGATCAAGCGACTGAATTGTATATAAACGAGCTTGGTAAAGAGGAGCGCGATCGGTTGGTGGCCAATATTCTTGACAGCATAGGTCCGGCTGCTAAATTCTTGAAAGAAAGAGCCGTAAAGCTCTTTAAACTCATCCATCCAGATTTAGGTTATAGAATAGAAAGTGGTCTAGCGTCAAATCGAACGAAAAGCTATTACGATTATGATTATTATTAATGACTATAAAAACATGATTGTTTGTATACTTTTAGAGCCATTTGTTAAATTTATTGAGTTGTATAGCGAGCAATATACATGTAGGCACTATTAATTTATTCAAGCGCTGTTTCAAGCCATGAAACCAAACAACTTTCCTATAGAAATTCATTCCGGCAGAAATTTGTGCCACATAATAATGGAAAGGCTATTTATTTGCCTAAGTTTTTTTCAGTGACTACATTTATAATCTTCAGATGTATAGCTGCAAGTATAATTCAAAAAAATACATATTTATCGCGACATGATACAAATCTATTTAAGTGTAAATGCATAAGTGTTAGATCCTCTAATTACCTACAATTTTGCCATTCATTTTTTTTCGTTTGGGGTTTGTTAGTGTTTTCACACAAAATTGTAACAACTTAATACATAAACAGTCATTAAGTAAGTAACATGGATTAGAGACCAAAGAAAACTTTGTACGCACCCATTTTATGTAATGTAAATTCCAGAATAAATTAATTTATTATATTTTTTTGTTTTTTTTTTAGTATTAATTCGTGCAATTTATTTTAAGAGATAATTTTGATATTTAAGAATATCAGTGGAATTCTTGGTTTGGGGAACGAACCTTAGACAAGACTGTAGCCTTATAGTAGATTTTGTAGTATGAGTGATGTTTCGTGAACTCCACGGGGTTTATCATCAGCTGATGGACGTCCATCTTGGACAAGACTGCAGCCTAATAGTAGATTTTGTAGTATGAGTGCGGTATCGGGAACTCCACGGTGTTTATCGTCAGCTGATGGACGTCCACTGCTGGACATATGCCTCCTCTAAGAATTTTCTCACATAATGGGCACTTTCGGCAACTAAGGTACCTGATACAAATAAGGCCTATGCTGAAATAAGGCCTGTAGTGCAGAAAAGTCTATTAAAATATGTTGAAACCAAAAATACTTTATACTCGCATTGATGACAGTTCTACAACTCAGCAAACTGTGCACGAGCAGTCCGCTCGAGTTCATAGCGCAGTAGTGGCGGTACTTTGTGAAGGACGAGCTTCTCATAGCGCGTTATTAATATGTCGTAATCTTTCACGAATTTTAATACGTTATTCTTTGAAGTTTTGTTTCATGTTATGTATAACGATCACAATATAACTAATCAAAAAGTTCACTATGACTTAAAATTTAACTTTTTAGAATATGCGAATTAAATACTACTGATAACTTTTATGAACTATAATGTACTAAATAAATCCATAAAATATATCCATCAAAATATAATCATTTTCCAATATTTAAATAATATTTACGAGAAGATATGTTAATTTGCTAATTTTTGTTTGTATGGATATTTTTTTATATATTACTAGCTGACCCAGCGAACTTCGTACCGCCATAAAAAAATTTAATTAAAAAAACATTGTCCAGCGGACAAAATTGTGAATCTAAACCATTCTCAGATCCCCTTGAACACACACAAAAAATTTCATCAAAATCGGTCCAGTCGTTTAAGAGAAGTTCAGTGACATACACACTCACAGAAGAATTATATATATAAAGATTCTTTATCTCTTGCTAGTTGACTAGCAATTCAAGCAAAATATTTAGTAAAATAAATTAGAATGTTGTTCAAGGATCCCATGGAAATACTTGATTAAAGGCTCAGATATACATACATATTTTAATATAATTTATACTCTAATAAGAATATTCCTATAATTTAAGTAAATAGGCTTTGTTTAGTCACTATTTTTTAAAAGGCCTAAGGCTAAGGTTTCAGAATTAGCTCTTTTTAAGTGATTTCTCATAATAGATTTTAATATGTTTTCTTAATTACTTAAAATTTATGAACCAAGGAATAATGCCTTGCTTTTATTTATCACCTTCTTCGAATAATTTATCATGATATGAGTGTTTGAAATTAGGTAGGCCTTATTTGTATCACTTACCTTACTTACCCATTAAAAATACAGAGCAATTGAAAGGTGTGGATTTGTAAGCTATTCGGATGAGAACTAAAAAAAAAGTTCACATCTTTCAATCGTTAGCCAGAACAATTTTTGCTTAGTCGCAACGTCGTAAACTAAACAAACATTTCAACGTGCTTACGAACAAATTACTAATAACTGGCTTAATCTTTATGTGCAATAGGCTACTTGACAGTATGAAAAATAATGTACCAATTGTTGACATCTGTATTTAATATGAATATTAGCAGCGATTTTACTATTCTGAAAGAACAAATATTTAAAAAACTTTTCTAATCATTAAACATAGAAACGATTTTTTGCTCTATGATCATGTGACCGAAGACGCCTGAGATTGGCGAAGACTAAAATGACGTCATACACTAGTATCCTTCCAGCCAAAGTGAAATTACTTTGTATCATTTGACGTTTTTTGAGCCACACACCAGTGAGACGCCGTAATGTCCAGAGAAAATTTTTCGCGGTAACTTTAAAATTGTATTGATGTGTAACATCTTTCCTCTCGCTTTCGTGCAATTTGTGGGAGTGATTACGTGAAGTGGGACAGAAGTGTGTAACAGGAAGTTTGGGAAGCGCGCGCTATTTGATTTGGTTTTAGAACATAAAGTTCAAATGGCTTATTCCTTTTGTAGTAGATTTTATATCTTTTTTTACTAATATAAGGTGAGGTTTCAAATGTTACACATCATACGCAACTACTGTAAGGCTAGCTGTTTTTTTAATTAAGTTTGTTTTTACTGAACTTGATGTTAACCCCACCTGATGTTAAGTGTAAGTGACTTCACTCCACCAGACGCAAAAATAGATAATGCGGCAAAAGCTGTGACGCTCCAGGCATCCTCACCAAGCCAGCCTGAACTAAAATCTCCTACCCGTGGAACCCTACTCACCAACAGAAACACAATACCACCATAAGATACACGGTAAAAATAGATTTTTTAAATAAAGAGAAATTGCTTGGAATTAAGATATAATTATTGAATCCAAGAAAATGATGCTCTCCCTATAGACGTTAGAGAATATTTTTCTTCGTAATAGTATAAGATATTCTTAAAATTTTATAGTTGATACGAGAATAATACATAATCTTACTTGGACCAAGACACCCTGTATTTGTACAGCCTAGTAAATGTATTCTTCATACAAAAAAGAATTTTTATCTCTTGTAGGTAGCGTAACCCAGGGCGTGAAAAAAATAACCTTATATCGCTTGCGCTGCGGAAGTCATTGACAGTAGAGCAAAGTGATGTACTAAAATTTTAAAGAAGACATCAATATCTACAAAAAAGTCCGCAATATCATATATGTAACTATTACAGTTAAGTAACAACTATAGGTCCCCTGCGGTTTCACTCGCGTTAATTTGAGGAAAATGGTTATAGTTGGCTAATCTTACAAGATGGGTATATGCTGGCGCGGACTTTTTTAGGGAAAGAATTCCGCCATACATGAATTTTGCATAACTTTAATTATTTACGCAGCGCACGCAACGGAACCTCACTAATGGAATGTTTTTACCCGTATTATGCAACATTTTATATCGATGATCCGCTCCTGCTGATCGCAGTGTGTTGTTATTTAGCGTTAAGCCTTCCTCAATGCAATGCACTATCTAACACAAAAATATTTTTTTAATCAGACCTTTAGTTCCTGAGATTTGCGCGTTCAACCAAAACATGGTGCATTTGGCGCAACCGGTCCTAAAGTACGCAACAACAACATACGTGGGATACTCGGAAAGTTCTGAGAAACTAAGAAACTAACTTCTATGAAAAATACATTTTTATAAAATCTTTTCATAGAACTCTCTACCAGCCCCTATACAAAGTTTCATGCGTCTGAACCAATTTTCAAAAGATTTATTCCAGTTCTCCGCAGAAACATCTTCCACGGCCTTCTCAAACGCTGCTAGCGCTTCTTCCGGCGATGAAAACTGTATCGATGTGAGCGGATTTTTTATTTTAGGGAATAAAAAGAAGTCACACGGAGTCAAATCAGGACTGTAAGGAGGGTGTTACAAGACTCTGACTGGTGTGGAGTCCAGGAAGTCCTTCGTTTTGATCGCAGAGTGCGCGGGCGCGTTGTCGTGGTGAATAAGGACCCCGCGGAGCTCTGTGTTAGGTCGCTTATTGATCATTGCAGAAAAAAAAACTTTTGGCAGGCATTTTGTGCTATACCATTCGGCGTTGATGCTGCTTTGGTCTTGAAGTGGAATTGAAATTAGGTACCCCGTCAAAGTGAAGAAACTAGCAATCAAAATTTTCTCTGCGCTCCTCGATCGCTTCACTTTCGTAGGCTTTGGTTCATTTTGAAACAGCCAAACTGTCGACTGACTCTTTGTTTCTGGATCGTATTGATAAATCCAGGATTCGCCACCTGTCACAATATCGTTAACGCGCCGTGACGAGCCTGCATCAATTTTTTGTATTATATCACTGCACCAATCCACACGGTCCTGCTTCTGAGCGTTGCTGTGATTCTGCGGCACCCAGCGGGAAACTATCCTCCTTACGCAAAGGTGCTCGTGAAAAATCTTGTGAACCCTTCCTGAACCAATGCAGCATATTCTGCAAGAGTATGCCGAATCTCTTCGTACGTATTTCGTCTGTTTTTTTTTATTATTTTTTTTTACTGCGAGCACACTTTCTTCGGTGACAGCCGATGTAGGACGACCACTCCTTTGTTCATATCCCAAAGTAAGACAACCGCGTTTGAACTCGCTACACCAGCGGTAGATGGTTGCTTTTGAAGGTCCTTCATCCATAAAAGCAGTTCGAAATCGATCAAATGACTCATCAGTATTTAGGCACATTTAAAATAGTAAAAAACTCATAGCACGAAAATGTTCTCGATGCAGATCCATTTTTTAATGAGACAAGAAAAATTTAATTGACTCTCGAAAGAAAATGCGGAGGGAAATTTGAAAATCGAACAATGGTATTTTTACTGTAAAATAATCGAAATTTTCAAAATATTTACAAGGGGCCAGGCAGTGTCCCATACATAAGAACTTTTTTTCGCAAAACTTTCTGAGTGGCCTGTTATAAAGAAATTCATTGTGTATAATACAAGCCTGAGAACAAAAAGTATAGTCTACCTACACTTCAACTTACACCGAAGCGAAGCAAGGGCGGACCACTAGTAATTGATATTATCTACTCCTAACTGCGACACCAGCGCCAAATTGAGCGGCAATTGACAAAACTGATTACGATTGTTTGGATTCAAATAATATCTATTACTTTTAACTGTATAATGCGGAAGTGCTGGGCAATAAAACGAGCGACCATTCCAAAGCAGTAACCAAAGAGTGTAGAGTGATTATTTCCATCGGGTTCTAGTGTTACACATATCGAGTCCAGCTTTCTAGAGAAAACAGTACGATTGTGGTGTGCGTTGTGCAATGCGCCGGAAGACTTGCGCTGGTACGGTCGACAAAAAACGGAAAAG